ACACTAATAAGTGCAAAGAAAGTGGAAGTATTATTAAGTATTAAGTATAAAAGTGGTTGGGTAAAAAAATAATGAAAAAAAAAACAATCAATACAAAGAGAAAACTAATTCAGATTAAACTTTTGAGAAACCATTCTACCCTGCCTACTTGATTCTGATCGTTTTATTGTATGTCTGCAAAATTCTACACAATGTTACATGCCAGCAGAAAAATAAATAAACATATTCCCAGCAATTTAGAGCCATAAACTTGTCCACACTGAGTTTCTTCACCAAGTTTCAGTAGTATAAATTTCATATATTCTTAAAATGTATTCACACCAGTTAATAAGTAATTTAACCAGTTGTTCTTGGTGCATTTTACTTTAATCGTGCCTTTGCTTTCAGCTCCACAAAAGGCTTGTGATTGGATTGTATTGATTTTGCAACAAAGTGAACAATAATTGGGTGCAAAGTGAACTTAACTTTTTTTGAGCACTCTGGTGACATTTGGTACCAGTTTGCACCTTGTTAAAAAACTGTGCTGAAACTGTGTGAACCTTCAAATGATAACAGCTTATAGTAATGGTTGGAACAYCGATAATTTAAGAAAATCAGAAGTTATCACTAGAGAGCATCAAAACTAATGTCCTGTTGCTGCTCTGATTTTATGTTAAGTTTTAAATATTATACATAATCAGTGATACTGATCTGTATAATCACATGTCTAAGCCTCATCACCTGGGATCTTGGAAAGCAGATGAGCTAAGGGGTAATATTAACAGACAGACTAATTATCAGAAACATGTATCATCAGGAAGCGATAGAATGATAAGACTCATTCCAGTCACGCTGTGTAAAAAATAAAATCCATGGCTGGAGGAAGTGTAAACGTGGATAAACTGTGAGCTTCTGATTATCGGGGGGAAAAGTATGAAAGTATTTTCATTGAGCTGGATTTGTCCCTCCACACCTGATGCACCCGGACCTGCACCTCTGTCAGTGTCAGCCGCTAATGAAAAACCTGAGTGTGAAGCTCATAAATCAGCTGCAGCCATTGTAGTGGTAATGTGTTGTCGTTCTCACACAGCCTTGCACACATTTGTATGATATATGCAACACACAGCACAGCGCAGTCATCGTATTGCTCAAGCGAATTCCAGCAGATGAAACATTGGGCCCTGTTTGGATACGTTTTTTTATTATTCTGCCGTACCCAAAGTTGCTTAAAACAAGAAGAATAAACTCTTAAAATCGATAAAYCAAAAGTATAAAATGAAAATAAAAGTCTTCTCTGTCATTTTGTGTCAATGCTGCTCAAACCAAGTCATGCAATAGTTGACAATTTCAAGAAAAWAACTGACAAAAAAAGCAGTTTTGTCTTCTTAAATATGAAAATGTTTCTTCAAAGAGAATATTGCATTAATGTGAGAAGATTTTATTAGGACAAAGCTGGAATATTGACATAATATTCCTTTAACCTCCCTGATCGTGGCAACATGAGGGCTTCAGAAGCCTGAGCTTACAGCAGACAGAACCCAAGATGCAGGCAGGCAAAGTGTAAATGGAACACCACTGGATTGGAATAGTGAACAGGGATATCTGTGTCAGGTACAGGCTGGAGCTGTAAGAGTCCTCATGCACAGGATGGAACATTTTTCATTCAATTTTTCACATCTCTGTAAGGTTTTAACTGTAAATAATCCAGYTTTTTGAAAGCYAGTYTTTAAATATTGTTAAAATGYGAAGCATGCTGCTTTCGAATGTCTTATGGTGGATTCGATGATTTTAATTTCTAACAGCACTGTCAAATGGTGCAAACGGAAAGACAGAATGAGACATAAAGTCAGTCAAAAACTCAGTCTAATTAAGAGATCTCTTGTACCTTTTTTTTCCTCCCTCCATCTTGCTTCTTCTTTGACTCCAATGTTCCAGTTTAATGAACTGTTAAGTCTGACAGAAAACCTATAACACTGCTGCACGGTGGTGTGACCACTAGCCTGTGGCTACAGACACTGGGGTATATGTGTGTTCGCTTGTTTAAGCCTGAGGCCAAACGGTTTTAACGGAAAATGGAAACACACCATTAAACAACAATTTACAATTGTACTGAAAACAACTTTTAGTGACAAACATGAAGAAGAGGGATGTTGTCTTAAAAACATAAGCTATAATTTAGTTTGTGTGTTCAACATGGGTATTAAAAATGAACGTGTCTGTCAGAAAAACTCCAAAATTGCTTTGGACAAAAAAATGCTGCATTATAGTTGTAGCATGACACAAAATTGTGAAGTTGGACTGATGTCAGTTTTGAGTTAAAAGCGTCCCAATTTCCAGTTTGTAAGAATGTCGAAAAAAATTCTATATTATTA